TGGTGATGGAAGCCTGAAGTGCGTGTATAATTCTGCTCTGGCTCTCACACCCAACCTAGAGTTTTCTTGTCCTGCAAAAATTGAGATTACTGTAGACGGTACGAAATATTGCACCACATTCCCTCCCCACAATCAACATAGACCACATCAGGCGAACTATAACTCAGATGGGTATTCGGTGACCCAAAACATTCGCAACATGACATTCATTTTTGGCGCCAAAGCCATTTGGTACTATTTCGCGCCAGTTTGGTGCAGCCCATGTTCTCACCAAATTCCCAGTTTGTTGTTGTAAACTTGCGCGTAGAGGTTATTCACTGTTCCCAACACAAATAACAATCCTTTTCCTGCGGGGAGAGGAGGGGGGGGGCAGGGTCGAGCCATTGTGGTTCAACCGGGACAAGACTGGTGCCAAAGTGGCACCAAAAGGGGCCTGAGCCAAATGTCTTATTCGTGGTCAGCGCACTACAATACCATTTTTGGCGAAATTTCAGTTGTTCTTTTTTTTCAAATCTTCGTAGGATTCCACAAGAACAGGTGCCTGCAGTTGTAATGTCCAATAATACTAAATTTACTATCGAGTTTACTCGATGATCTCAAAAGGAACGATATTTATAACTAACCAAAAGTTTAAGTGGCGGTATCGATTTTCCAAAAATGGAGCAAAAGTGGTGATTGGAGCGCGTTTTTCGCGCCATCACGTAGTATAAACCCGTGATATTAAGTTCAGTTATTAGAATCTTGAAAGAGACAAGTTATCTGGGTCGCAACTTCACACCCAAACTTAACAGTTCCGTTATAGTATCCCATTTGGGTGTCCCCGTTGGAACCAACCATTTCATATTGCACTTGTAGATCGATTGGCCATTTCTCGTACATCCAAGTTTGGGTTAAGAGAACGCGTGTTCCCTGGTCGACCCATAGAGGCCTGATGAAAAAATCGGAAACCGATCGAATTGCAGAGTTTGATTTTCCGTGATCGCCCCGTCGGACTTCTCCGATGGCTCCGACAGTTTATCGGCCCTTCGACAGACTTCTCACCCAAGTAACTCTCGTGAGTTACGTGACCCCGGGATTACCTCAGTGGATTGTGACGTCAGCTGTTGACAGGTCGTGCGGTATGCGATAAACAATACCTCGGATTACGGTATCGTGCTTGAGGTCAGCGACATAGCACATTGTGCACATGTACTCGACATACCGCATCAAGTACCCCATGCAGTGCCAAATAACTTAATCCAGTTGTTGAATGGGCTCCAAAGGTGTTCTCAGAGCCCAGAGAGGTCTAAATAAAGCCGAGCGGGGCCAAGATGCCGTAAATGCGCTAAGGCGGTTGATTGACCCCGATCGCTGGCAGTAAATGATCTGCCGCCTGCTGGCGTCACTTTTGCTCTGACGCTCGGTGCTGCAATGACGAGGTGAGTTGTGATTATTTCATATTCCTTGAATTCTAGCGGTCGGTTCCTCTCCATTCCCCGTGCAGAGCCCCGGGTTGGGATGTGGTTGCCCACAGCTGATGGATGGGCGCGATAATTTGGCGCAAATCGGAGTTATAGAAAGCTATTGTGTGAGTAGTATGTTGTGTTCTGCGATGAGACCTATTTGATGGCAATTTTGTCGTTCGTTCGCTGACAGTCCATTCAAAGGTATTGTGTTCTTCCCTCGCCTCATTTATGCACTTTTTTCACCCACAGTGCCGCCGTCAGCGAAAACTTGCATTCAGTACAGCTCCGTCCAAGCCTTTCTGCGGCCGGTTATTCGACACTAAACCGACTACCAGTATGGTGGTTGAATTGATTTCCTGAAGGGTTCCCGGAAGTAATTCAGGTGTCAGTTTTTACCCAGAAGCTTTGTTTAACATGTTGTCCGCAAGTGCAGAATAGGTTCCTGATGTAGCGTAGCGTTCATAGTTGGAGGCGTGCGCTTGCTTTTAGTGGTACTTTTACCCATTCAACTTATTACAATGCTCGGATATTATGTTTAACCCTTCATTGACCAGGTAAGTTACTCAAGCCGTCACTTTTGAACATACAGGAAGGGAAAAAGGGCGCTATTGCAAGATACGGGGGCATTGTGGTGGCAGTGCATTTGAAATCGCGTAAAACATACCTTTTTCGTTAAAAACGGGACCAAGCCTTAGGCGGAGGAGGAGGGACTCAGGGTGCGTCAGCCATTTTCATTCTCCCTGAAATTCCTGCCGTCTCCTAGGCTTAGTCCTGGAGGCTGTCCCCGTATATTGCGATAGCGCCGAAAAAAGTTCTGAAAAGTACAAATGCATAGAAAATAAAGTTTGTCGCAAGTGCAGTTGGGAGGGGAGGAATGGGGGTGGAGGCATTGCGACGCAAGACATCGTATTACCGACAGCAGTCTAATTTTCCGCAAGGAAGGGGGTTCGGGGTTACGTTCTGCAGGGAGGGATCTACGCGAGTTTTTAAAATGGAAATTTCTGTCGTTGTTTTGAGTGCCTTGAGTGATGTGCGCCGCGATGTCGCCTACCGCTCCCCTTATCCAATTACTTGGGCTAAAAGTCGGTTATAATCCAAGCACAGCCTTCATGTCTGATAGAAGTCGCGCTTGTCGCACCTTTCCTCTTAAGCCACCCTTTGACGACCGTGTGGCCCGCCGGCTGGGCCACACTTTCGCTCGGTGTGCTACACCGTTTTTAGGTGGTTTATTTTGACGTATTTTTTATGTTTCAAAACCTACACAAATACAACATCGAATTCGCGGAATAATGGGCTAATTACTAATAGTGAACCACTCTGCTCCCTGTAGAGTTAATGACTTATCTTCACTGAACAAAACTTTGACGGAACTGCCAGCTGAAGCTGACGCCACTTCGTTCAAGGGTCGGACCCGCTCAACACGGTTCAATCTAGCTCAATGTCTTGGTTTGGCCCATAGTTGGCATTTTTAAAGTATCGCGCGTTCTTTTAACACCACAAAAGCGTCCTCGCACGATTTCCAACCTCCTTATTCCCATCATTCTGAGAAGTAGCGACAAAATTGGGAGGGACCACGTACGTTTTGCTGGTCCGATCTTCGGTTTTTCTTCTTGGGAACACCTTTACAGTTGCACGGACCACATGACATGTGTGTGCATGATTTTGCTGTGTATAGACCTGACAAGATTTGTGAACATATGGAGAACCGTGTTAAAAATCTTGCTGCTTTTCTGTCAACGGAACCAGTATTACCGGCTAGACGACTCCAACAAGCTGGATGTTGCTGCTGCTGGTCCTCTACGCCGTATCTGTGAGCAACTTTTATCTTGCCGAGTTTGTTCGCTGCATATGTCATATATTGGGGCTTCTGTCGGTGCCTCCGCGAAAGCTGGGCCCGGAAGCGCTTAATGCAAATGTTACATTGCTTTTCTCTGTGCTTCATGGCCTTCGGAAGCGCCGGAGCGGGGATTCCGCAAACCTGGCCACGTCCCTGATAGGCTGACACCTCAAGGACTAAGCCGGAGAAATACTTGCTCCACGACCTTCTTCCGCAATCCCTTCCCCCTAAGACTTAATCCCAATACTGTAAGTGGCTCACTCATTTCAGTGTTCCTTCCCTCCAACGATATGAGCGCTATTTTCTCCTTTTTAGCAAGCCTAGCTGCACGATGTGCAGCGAAATGAGACTGCGACCGGAGTACAAAAAAATGTCAGAAATTGTAATTTTATTTTGTTAAATTAGCTTCTTACTTCTCTAACTAAAATCTGAAGAAGTGCAAAAAATGTGAAGGGCAACATGGTTTTCTTTCCACAGACGAGACTATTTTGTATCCGGTACCCCCTGTGAATTGCGGCTACTTCTGTTACTCTAACTTTGCGTCCCGTGACACTCTTAAGGTAGGTTATAGGTGCAGCCTAATATTACGCTCATTTATTTGCTAGCAGTTAGGTCTTCTCCTCTCTGCTCACTATTCCACTGTCGTCAACAGTATGGTCCACCACACATAATTAGGCATCACTTATTTGTGCTTCGGCCGAAATTTTTGCGTCGTGTAGGTACTAGTCCTTGTTGTAAGCTCTGCCTTTTGTGTCGGTAGCCGTCTAAACTAGCAGGGCGAAGCTTTTGAAGGACCGAACAGTTGCGTGGGGTAACGGAGAAGAGGTTGGGGGCGGGCTAAAGAAGGCTGTTGCTGTCCCGCCCCTTGAACCCGTACTGTTGCGCGCACTACCATTCCTAATTCGTGCCACTTCCTCATGTGGCGTCGTTGGGGTTCTCAGCCATTTGCACACAATCACCTTCGGTGTACTGTAGCCTTCTAAAGGGTCCTGGCTGCTGAAGGTTTCATGTTTCCATAGCCCCTGCTAACTTCCGATTATAGCTTATTCTTTTCTTGGCGACGATTTTCTACGCATTTAGGTCTCATCGCAGGGGGTTTACCATGATGGTTTCAGATCAAGGTTCAGAAGCCGAGTTATCATTTCCTTAAAGTCCCCTTTGGAATTGAGGGCTCTCTTGTAAGTCAACCTTTCCGCCACAGTTGTCCACTGAGAGACTTTTTCCGATATTGCTTTCACCTACGATTACTGTCACGTATTGCTCACTGTTTGGACTTCCTACCGCAAGAATTCTTCGAAATCCTTGCTTTGGACTATAAGCGGCGTTTTCTCTCCGTGTATTGGCACTCTCTCATACTTTCCTAGAGATATTGAATAAGTCTAAGTGTGTACCAAAATGTTACCTCTGGTGCTCCAAGGAATTTTTGTCCCTTGTGGATACCTTTTGCAAAATGACAACTTTTCAAATTTATCCTTCTCTGAACGGTATGTTATGCTAGGCGCTTCCCCGTACAGATTGCCTGATTAGTCAGAAACACCCGAAAATGTCGAGACATCTCATCACGTACGAGATTAGTGACAGAAGAGGAGTACGATCGGAGGCGGAGCCTAATCGGTGTGAATCGTTTCAGTCGTGGTGCCGATCGGAGTTGATCTGTTTCTGCTGCTACTACTGCTGTTGCTGTTGCTGGTGTGTTCGTGTCTACGAGACGAGGAGCTATGATGATGACAACCGCTGACGAGCTTGCATCGTCGCTTCGTTGTGCCGAGTTCCTCGCCGATTCGCCATCCACGTCCACGTTGCTCCATCATCATGTTGATACCGTGACGACCATGACCAACAATCTGCATCATAACGAACATCGACGTCGTTCTGGTCGAGTCGTACTTCAGCCGGTCAACCAACGACGTCTCAGTCATGGACAGGTACTGTTGACTTTTTTCAATTTCGTACCCATTTCTCGTTCAACAGTTATGAGTAACCAAAAATACTGAAAATTAATTACCAATTTTTGAAGTCCTTTTGCTCATCGGGCCTAGTTAAGTTGATGGCCTCAGATGTTTTGCTGACTGCCTATTTATTAATTATTTCCAATACAAGGCCCTGCGCTCTATGATTTGAGCAGCTCCTCATCACTTAACCTTACCACGTTTCCCTTAGCGCCGCAGTAGAAACATGTGGTATTTGTTGTAGGTTTGCAGGCGAATGCGTTTTCACAGTCTTACTCGTTCACATCCTTTTTCCGCTGGTTGCCCCTATCGGCTCACTAGCGCGTCCAAGGTTTCTCTTTGTTCGTGGCGCGTACTCCGCGACTTACATCATATGCGCGCCAGATGTTGCTTTGCAGTGTGTGTCATCTCTGTTTCTTTATGTTATGACTCGTAGCACACGTTACCTAGTTGTAATTGCCTTGGTTGTGACGGTACCTATCGCTACTGCTGCTGCTGTATCGCTGGTTCGACCCTTATTCCTGGCCCGCTCTCCTGCTTTTGGTCTTTTGAACAGCTTGAGAGGAATTTCTCATCGTGGCCCACTCGTTTTTCTACGCAGTCGTAGCCGCTGCTGCACTTTGGTGACCCGCCTCCGTGTTGCTCGCCCTTCCTCACCATCGCGCTATCGCTGATGTCGTTGGCAGTAGAAAAAAAGCAGGCACTGATGCAGAGATGATGATCAGACAAGTTGATTGAGGAATGATCACTCAAGTAATGGCATGTGCTCATCTACGATCGAGCTGAGATGACCTCTGCCAGGTGCGCGGGGGCGCTTGTTTGCCGGCCCCTGCGGCTGCCGGGCCTGGAGCTACCACCGCGTTCCACCGGTTCCGACGCTAATTACGCATTGTCAGCAGGCGATCGCCCGATAGATTTTTGACAATGATACGCCTACTCAGCTATTGATTCTAGATTTTGAGAAAGAACAACTGGTGAAATAACTTGGAATCTGGGTAATATAAATGCCGTGAAAGTGATTTTTTACAAATTATAATTTTTACTGGTAAAACCGTGGTCCAAGGAAGGATTTCATCGATTTATATCAGTTCCGAAATGCATGAAATGGTTTTGTTCAGCCAACCGTGGTGTCCCGTAAGCGGCCGTCCACAGTCGACGTACGCTTGAATACAGCCCAGCATCCGTCAGTTCCCAGTTGCCTCGATCGTTCCATTCATCGAGATGAACGCGTGCTGGAGAACCTGCTCATTGCGGAGGTTTGTCCTGCTGTTTCAATCGCTACTGCTTGCTTCTGATATTTTACAGTTTGTCAGGAGAACTTAAGATCAAATCATCCTGTACTTCACCGCCCGTCCAGAGCGGCACATTGAGCCAATACATCGCGAACAGGCGGTGGAATGGATTTTTGATGTGGCAAAGGTGAGAGTTGAGATCGGTTCGATTGCAAAGTGTTCAATAATGAGCTGTGATTTTGTAGGAGGAGAAATGTGACGCGGACGTCTTCCCGCTGGCGGTGTCCCTCATTGATCGCTTTCTCTCCCTACAAAACATATTCCGGCAAGATATTCAGGTCAGCTGATTTTCTGTTCCGTTATTTCTTGAACGACTGCAATACGATCGCTATACTTAGCCCGATAATTATAGGTCTTAGCTGGCGTGTGTTTATTTATCGCTAGCAAGGTGAAGGCGCCGCAACCAATGAATGCGGCACGTGTGTCGTACTACACAGCGGACAGCGTCAAAGTTCATGATGTTTTGGTACGTTCGCATTTTAAGTGCTTGCATGCATCGCTGATTAACATCGCAGCATCATGAAAGTTGGTTTGTTTCAGAGTTGGGAACTACTTGTACTGGCAAACCTCAACTGGGAGATCACGTCACCGACCGGATTTGACTTCTTCGATCATCTATCCGCCCGTCTGCCATCACTGCATACGCTACGACCTGCGTTCACATCGGTTCTGCACAGGATTCAACGCTGTAAGTTTTGGTTCTGCAGCCTAGATCAAGCTTTTTTGGCAAACAAAGCTATCTCAGCACTAGAATAGATGACCTTTCAAAAGGGCGTTTAGCTCGCAACATGTGTGCTTTCTCCTCTGCCCTCTTGCCTTTCTTGCCTAATCTGTAAATTGTCGCCGCGGTATTCTCAAATCGGATCCGCTGTCGCTTTGTCTTTAACAACATGGGTGGTCTGAAGGCGCCTGCGCGCAGCTGATCTGCTCTTGCTTACAAACAGGTTGAGACGATTTGAATTTTTTAAGGTGGTAGGCGAGGATGTTTAAATTTAAGAATCTACGTTCTAAGTGAGTCAAGTCCATCTTTCATCTACTCAACATGTGTTGAAATACCTTGAAGTCAGCGGTGACCTGCAACGACCACCTGTGGAGCGCGTGGCAATGTGCTGACGTTATGATGCGAATGATTGGGACAGTGGCATGCACGTCCTCGGCCCGCACACCACATGCACATGCCCCATTGCGTCTTCTCCGGTCGGTGTTTGTCGACGATCCTTGGCGACCTGGCACGCCGCCTCCGTCGGTTCTGTGACCTCCCATCATGCACAATCGTCGTCATCAACATTGAATGTTGCACTTGGCACCACTGAACCGATGGCCCTCGCGCACTGAGCAAGGCTGCCATGACGAACGCATCGGCCGCTGAATTCCTTCGACTGTCCTCCATTCAGTCGGTCGCTGTTTTGTGCCCGTTAACGTCTCGTCGTGTGTGTCCTTTGCGTTGGAATTGGATGAGGTGACTTAAGATGAACAAGTTGTTGAATCCGTGTCAAACTAGCACGCGTCGATGGTGCCTCATCTGCATCACAATGCCCACCACTGCTAGACCACACACATCGCCTCGATGTCGCGCCGCGTCTCGCGCATCTACTTTTATGGCCAACTAGAACTTGATCGAACACCATAGGTGGTCCGGGAGGCTAGGCGAACGAAAGAGAGCATCCGGAGCGGCTCTGCTGATATTGACGATATCGACGTTCTTAATTGATCGGCTGGTGAAGAAGGCCAATGGCGGCCTTTGTCTGGATAGTGATGCCCTTTTTCGCGAACTGACTATTCAGCGTGTTTCTGCCGGGGTAGAGATAGGAGGTCAGCGAGTCGAAATACAAGAGAACGAGAACGCGATTGATGCTTCCGTCAGCAAACACTGGGGAAGACACCTAGCCATTAGGGCGGTTTCATGTCCTAATGCTAGTTGCCTTACCCCAGCGAGACTCTGAGTCGCGTTAGGTATGTTCGGGTCTATAAGTGTTCGAAATCTCGCCCTCGCAATAGCACACGTGATGCTACCGTAGTAGCAGCGTCTATGAAGAAGCGATTGTAAATGTAAGACGCGTTTTTTGTTGGCGCTTAGTTTTTTCGACAGTTCGGCTTCTAGCTTACG